CACTAAGATGAACCTAACAGTGAACTTGTGGTTCAGACTGCTGTGGAAAAGTGTAGCTATTGGCCCAAGCATAAAGGCAAACAATTCCGCAACTTTGCTGTTGCAGCAACACAGTACGTCCCGTTTCTTCATGGGCTGCGCTGGTTCCGACGCAATCGGTCGTACTTCCGGCAGCGACGGGGTTAGAATCCTTCGCAAGACGACTGTCGTACATTGACATTCAGCAAAAATGCCCTGCCTGTGAAAAATCATTTCAGCGAAAAGTAAGTTCTACAGCAAGTTCACCCAATGGACTGTTTCGTTTACTTAACCTTGGCAAACTTTACAGTCACTTTTCGATGGACTTTTTATGAAGCGGACCTCCATATTCGACTTTAGTTTACCGTTTTCTAACCACGCAACACGTGCCCAGGACGAGCTCCATTTTGAACCAAGCCTCGCTCTTGTTGGCCGTAACCCCAGAAGGCAATCAGGTCATGCTTCGACCTCGATTGCGTGAAGGGAACAATCTGTGTTGACCTACTTCAGAAGTTTTCCGGGTATCGGCTCAACAACTAGATCCCGAAAAGAAGTAAAATCAACAAAGGGACAGTAATTGCTGAAATTTCGATGCAAGGCCAGCAAAAACGTAGTGGAACTGCCAGCTGATATCCATAGAGGAGATGCTATTTCAACAGTGTCATATTTTGTCTTCTTGGGGGACCACGATCAAAGCAATTCCGAACCGATATCAAATGGTTCGGTTTGATCATTAAGATATTCCATTAGATAAGCTTGTTCATTAATAGGAAACCATATTTGGTTGGAACTCGATAGTGTCTCATTTTCGTTGTTGATAGACATGACAATATAACCGAGACAGAGAGTGCTGAGTTCTGGTTTCAGCTTTCCTCTTCTCGCAATTCTAGTTGCTACGACACTAGACAACAGCCACTAAATAGCCATTGAATTTGACAGCGTGTAATTAGCGCGCAACTAGGATTAACAATTGCCAGATGATTTCTTCTGGTGAAATATTTTCAATTCAAAGTGGACTCCAGAATCCACAGTGTTCCGATCGCAGAAACTTAAAGAGTAATTAGATGAATGTGGTTCAGAAAATGAGCGGCAATCGTCTGTGAACTGGCTATGAAGTCCTAGTGTAGATTTTCATATATTTTGGCACAATATATGCTGACTGACTGTTCTTTAACAAGAGATTTCAGTTCGGAGTTTTGCTCAGAACCACCTCAACACATCATTTTTTTTTCTCCCTGCTAAGAATGTGACCCATGGAGATTACCCAAGATCAGGTCCAAATTTCACCGCAGAATAGCACACTCAAATGTTTCCTTCGGTTCTTTCAATCGTATCTGAAAGAATCACGGTACAAGTTATCAGGATGTGTTTGGATTTGCAGCGCACATTTCCACGTCTGCTGGAATAACCAATGGACGGATAATTCCAAATAATTTGCGACCCGAAACTGACATTTTTCCCCAGTTCACCCCCCTGAAAACCCAGGGTAAATATTTTGCAATATTGAGTGCCTCAATATTTCTCACTTGAATGTTTCGCTTTGCTGCGAAAACAGAACAGTTAAGTAGCTGACTGACAAGAATGTCCAGAGCTTTGAATGTATGGAGAATTCGCTGCTGAATTTCGTCCATAACAAGTATGTTCAATTCTAGCTAATCCTCGTGTTCTTGGACTGTCTCAATAAGATCTTTGGAACACGCGGTTCAGTCAGTAACGAAAATACGATAAAACAATGTTCTATATGGATCTTCACCAAACACTAGGACATTTGGAGCACTAAACTTTAATACCAAACCAATACACATGACGGAGTATCTCTTGCGAAAGTCTGTCGGTTTTGTTCACTCAAGAAACTCTTGGTTCACTTTTCTGTGCCTTTGTGAATGAAGTTACGCTTCAGTATGATTCAGAATCCTACCTAACCAGTGTAGATGGAATAGTAACGCTTATAAAAGTCAGGTTATCTGAAAGACCTATCCCAACGCAGACCATTACATTATGTGGTGACAGTGAAAAAATTGGTCAAAATTTCACATGGTACTTAAACGTTTTTCGCCTTCAAAGATGTCTTTGGAGCTGTCCTCTTGGATTTAAGGGCCACATTTAAGAATTAATCGTGAAAAAGCAGCATTCCTCATAAAACAGTGATACTTTTAGCTCGCTACAAATCACCTAATCTTCGGGTTGATTGAATCACTTTTGAACTGGTGAATCTGAGTAGCACGATGAATGTTTAGTGTTACTCCTGTATAACTTCACTCCCACTTTCTCAGCCACACAAGGAGCTTTTGTGGTGCACTCTAATGAGTTAGGAACGCACCGGTGTGCTTCTACACGTTATGGTATACATACACGTTTTTAAATTGGCGATTTTATGTGGTGAATACAAAACTTTATGAGTCTCTGGTAATCCTCACATCCATGAACCTAAGTCTGTTATTCATGAAAACTATTCGACAACTTGATAAGTTTGTTATCCCTAGAAAATATACTTCAGCATATTAAATATCGTGTAAACCAGGACACGGAGCGGTCCTTTTGCAGCAAGTGTAATTCAACAAGGGTATTCAATTACATCTCTGGTTAACACCAGTCTAATTAGCAAATGAGTTTGTCGTCGTCCTCAGTCTTTGTCACTAATTTCACAATGGGATGCACTGTGTTCAGGTGTTAGATTATCCATTTTGTACGGATATTGTCTGCCCATCTGAGAAATGAGTCATCAACATGATGATGATTATCACAGTCCACAATGTGATGTGATTGTCTGCTTTGTTTTCCACAGCGACCATAAATATGTCTGAACAAGGCGAACCTGAAGGACTGTCCTTGACTATTCCATCTATTTGTCTGTATAATCTGGTATCGAAAGTCAACATGCATTTGTGTGCACAGTCATTTTAAGTGTGTGTTACGAGCACTCCAAGTGTATACGTTATATTGTGAAGCGACGATGGCGTTACAACCCTCGGGAAAACAGATTCTCTATAACAACCAGTTCGTAGTCCCTGAAATTTCGCTAAGAAGTGGAGAAATTCGATGAAGCTTTCTTAATTTATATGTGGGTTTCAGTGACAGGCACACATGGATAATTCTTTAGGCACCGAAACAGAGTTAGTCGCTACAGGTGTACTCCGGTTAATGTGTCTCGCACTGTGCTCAGGAAGCAGATATGACAACTGGGTCTACATTTGCGTCCCTCCACGAATTAGCTTGCATGATGAAACTGACCCGTTGGCGGAGCTTGGTAATTAGCTTGCAGGCACATCATTCCCATGCGAGAAGAGATCGTAAGCGCCTGGTTGGGCGTTGTGTGATTCCTCCACTTATGCTAGTGTTTATTTTGTTTCTAAAGCGTAGTTAATCTACACAAGGTCAATGGTTGTTTGAAAGCTTTTTGGCACTTAAATTGGTTGGCCACTTTGAGATTTGTGTTGCGTTTTGGTCTAGTCAAATTCTCCTCACAAATGAGGCACTATAGTAACCGAACCCCCACAAGTATTCATTTCCATGATGAAAACAGTCACCCGTGAGTGTGCCAGTCTGTCTTTACTCCTACCATGCTGAAACCATTGTCTTCAACATACAGTAAGTTTTCAGCACACTTTGCGGACCAAAGTCTATCCACACTCACTAGACACTTTTTGTAAGTTCTCGTACTCTATCTCTCTACCTGGATGGGGTTAAAAGCACGTATAGTTTTTTGTTTGCCCGTCAAATCTACAAATAAGTAGGGAACTTGGGAATGCTACTCAAATGGATCAGTTTCTTCAGACATGCATTCCGTTAATGCTTTCTGTGGTCTTCACACCTAAAACACACAACCGAACTAGGTTAACTGAAACACTAAATTCGGGTTAGCTGAAATGCAAAGGCGTGCAAATCTGCGTGACTTCCATATGAAGGTTGCCATGAGATCTAGGTGGTCACATGCAGTCAAGTTTCCGATTGGCCATTAGATCCCTGCGTGTACCCCAGCTTCTTAGGTCCTGAAGCACCACAATATAATTCAATCTGGATTCGATCTCCGCTGGGCGTCCTCCTCATATATCGTTCATCTTTGGTTTGTTAAAACAGCTTTGGAAAGGCCAAAGTAAATCTCATCTAGACCCAGAAGAAGTATTCTGAGCTGGAAATTCTAACCCAAATTGGCAACTAAAGACTGTGCAAAGCGTAACCTGGATTGTTCAGTGTGGACAGAGATTCCAGTAGATCATTTCCTTTTTTAAGTGAACTGGAACGCAAATTCGTGACACTTACTCTTTCTTAAATGGCGTAACCTGGATTGTTCAGTTTGGACAGAGATTCCAGTAGATTGTTTCCCTTTTTAAGTAAACTGGAACACAAATTCGTGACACTTACTCTTTCTTAAATTTCTGCTTGTACTTCACTTAAAATAGCTGAAATCGCTGGGTACAGTGGTAATAGCTATTATTGGTGTGTCTTTCGATTAGAGGTCACTGCATCACACACTCACTTGTCAACACTCCCGAGCGGATGGTTTGTTATATGGAGTCAAGTTATTTTCTCCCCATTCTCGAAGTTCAAAGCGCATCTAGCAAACTTCTGGCACTCTTTTTTCAAAAACATATCCTGAGAATAGAGAGGAACATTGCCATTACTGTCTACAAATCTGTCATCCGGAAGACGCTATACTCAGATTGATTTGTGTCCCTTTCTATCATATAGTCATCATGAAGTTGAAAAGAAAGCTTGTATTTAGCACAATTGGTAGCCTTAAATAAATGTGGATGGACAGCAAACAGGACACCAAACAGGACATAATGCACTAAACCCACATGATCTCTGTTACAGGGCCTAATCTAAGCTTATTCGCCACCGATGCTGTATTCATTTTGTAACCTAAAGTCAGTTATGGACGTAATACACTACTCTTAAGATTGCTGAAAATTCTTCTACAGCCCGCGACCGGTTTCGCCCTTCTTGAGGCTCATGAGGAAGGCGCGATCTCCAAGTTTTTGTCAAACTTTTGGTCTACTTGAAACCAAAATGCACAAAATCATTTCAAACAAATTTGGTTTTGCGTGAGACTCACCTGGTACCCACCTAAATCTCTCGTTTATGACGTTTTCAAGCAACTGAATATGCTGAATCAGGCGGCCACATGTTTCAGTCGATACGATCCTCGAGATATCACGATATATACATTACCGCCGAACCGAAACAGGTCCCCTGGTACCAACCTCTCTCAGTGGCACGTGAATTACTACCACTTTAAGATTTGCTAGATGACTCGAGCCTTGTTTCGAGACTGGTGGACAGTTGGTTAGGTAAGGAGAACACCTCATCGCTCGGGATACTGCAACAACACACAAAATCGTGGGAACTTTTTGAACTTTAGTTTGGAACATCTGTCACCCAACCGCACGTCCTTTACACAGCCACCGGACGAAGGCGTTTCTGGTAACTGGAGTGCAATTGCGGACAACCTCTTCTGGTAGTGTTGTTCGGGAAGCTGAACGAAGTGTGGGCACCGGACTCATGCATAGCATACATTTCCCCGCAAGCACAAACCAGCCGAATCCGGACACTCTCGTTATGGGGGTTGAGCATTTCAGGATTCACGATCAACTTGGAATTGTCTTTACCTCCAGTTGATGAATGTCACTTGGCAAAAGGTTTCATGCCTACGTTGTAATCAGCTTAGAACTCTTTGCTCAAGAGTTTGAGGGTCAATTTGGAGGAGGACACTGATGATTCAGGCACATGTGTCTTTGCAGTTCAATTCTACTTTTGACATTGATGCAAGTCTCAATCTGTTTAGTGTATTAACAACCGAACGGATAGGGGAAGCAACAAAGAACAAGATACCATCAAGAACCGGGCTCCTGTGGTTTCAGTTGATGACACTTGATGATGGCGTTAGAAAAGTTGCACTCATACAATGTGGCTGATGTAGACCTTTTGGACCTCAGTAATACTGTTTCGAATAGAAAAACAAAAATACAGCTGGCGAAGAATCAATAGTACATGTTGTGATAGGGAGAAGATGCCCTGTTTCAGCCCCATACTCCTCACATTTTGATATTAATTGGGAACATCATTTGTGCAACCCAATTGATGGCTACCCATACATTTATAATTTTGGTGGGCTCTTGCTGCATAGGTGACCGTGATAGTACGGGCGAAGCACTGTCGGCTTTGTAACAGCTAAACACCTAAGTGCTAACCAGTGTGATCATTTAGTTCATCGGGGTGAGGGAACTGACTGACCGTGAGTCCCAACCTTTTGAAGCTGTTTGAAAATTCCACATCGTGATATCAACAATGAGGTAGTCAGTTCGATGGGAGCTAAGCACACTGCTGTTCAGCCGCTCGAGGCCAAACCGTTACGAGTTTAACCACTGGCCTCAAGGGTTCGAACTTTTCTGGGCTTCGTAAGAGGTACAGTGTCGATGCTTTCCAGTACGGATAAAACAGTTGTACAGTGCTTTTCGGCTTTTCAGCATTGATTGCCTTCACTGACAGGACGAAATCTCGGTTTTTGTTTCCGTGCTTGTGAGCCGTAGCTTTGAGTTAACTGAAATCGATTGTAAGTCTCATTGAAATAAGCTGGAGATACTCGTGATCACAATAGCTTCTGGGGCTACTCACGCATCCCCGTGGTGATTTACTGGTGTCATTTACGATGATCCAAATTTACACATCAAAATTTCGGTTAAACTATAGGTCTGATCTGGCTATTAATTAGTAACAGCTCGACCTTTGAATGGAATGGTCCAACTAATTTCCTATAACCCCGAGGCACTTTATTAACCTGCGAGTCATCCTCAAGAAGTAGTTTGCAATCTCTCTTCTGTCGTGATAAGTACCATCCAGTTCAAAAGCATCATTTGTACCGATTCCATTCGGATCGTGGAAAACGGATGAAGAGTCATCTTCTGTCAGCCAGTTCGGTTTTTCTAGCAGTTTTTTTTCAAATAAACATCTGAATGGAGGATCCTGCGGATATTGCGGATCCACATCACAGATAAATTAGTCAACCACATCGTTAGAAAGCGTCATAAAAATGCGACATCTTTGCAGTGCAAATTAACCTGTGAAACGGTATTTTCATTCAGTTTTACCGGTATGTTAACCTGTACATCATATGTAGAACGTCAAAACGAGGACACCACAAAACGACTGTGGATTTTTCAATATGGATCAATTAACTGAACTGTCAACGTCACGCTGAGAAGCTGCCCGTCAGAACAGGCACCTCAACCCCTATTTAGGCAATGCCACACCATGCTTTTCTAGATGAGTGGCGTACCCCTTGTGACAGAGGTTAGCTTATTTTACTTGTTCACTTGCTGCCGGAATTCTGGCCAACTTATATCAGACTGCGCATTCTTAAGAGTACCGTCAGGTCAGAAAACAGCACTTGCATCCACAAACCTGTCTGACGATTAACCGTGTGAGCATGTAGACAGAACTCTGGTGTGTAGGATTTATGCGCGAGTGACAGAAATCAGTGACTAAACTACAAACATACGTGAATGCGGCAAGTTTCCCAGTTGACTAGGACAAATTTTGCAATTGTTGTTCAAAATGAGTAGTGCGAACTCCATCGCCTCGCTACAACCACAGAAAGTCATAATGATATAAGCGAATTACTATACCATTGTAATTAGTGCAAAACGAACCAATTTCCAGCTCAAAGCCAGGCAGTGTGATGTGATTTTTGGTCTTAAACGGCCTGCAACTGTTGACCAGACAACCAAGCCCTCAATTCTTCCCCGCCAGACTACTCTATCCTACCGGGGAAAATATCGCTCATACCGTTTGAGTTTTCGGGATCCCCGTGTCTTTAGTATCAAAGTTGCGTGATTAATATATCACCAGTGTGTCTAAATCATATTCTGTTCACTTCTAAAATATACCGGAGTGAATTAAAGCTAGGGATTTTCGATAGAGCTGGGAATGTTTTAGAGTAGTGGTTCTCAACCGGAACTCATCCCCAAGGAAGGAGATTTTGTGAACCAAGAATAATATAGGTTCCCATTGATGAAGACAGTAACCGCTAGGAAGCTCACTATCGTCTCGGTTCACCAGAATTTAGGATCTCCTGACACTTGTCCTTACAAGATTGTAGCTTCGTTCCTATCTTGGTGAAAGAGGTGCTGTCACCCGGAAGAGTGTTTAACTCTCTGAGGCCCTTACCATCAAACTATTCGGGTAAGGATGTAGAACGCTGAGGGAATAAAATATTTCCTTTCGTGCATATTTCAAAATAATTTTACCTATCATCCGACTACGGTTGTCTCGGGATCGTATACATTATTTTTGTGTATGAAAGGTACAATCCCGCTTTCAGTCCTGACCATGTATATCTGCCGTTCAAATCAATCGGCCGTAAAGCTTGTCCAACGTCACGTCTCAGCCAAACGCGGAGAGGGATTGTCGATACTATAACGAAAAGTCAAATGATGAGTTAGGTAGATCTGCTGGACGATCAACCTGCTGAATAAAAACTTTCGTACTCAAGTCTGTCTGAAGCGGACAGGCCACTGTTCCCCTCTAACAGCTGGAGTTGATTGTTCCACGCTGTCATTTTCCCCACTCTACCGATGGTTGTTCTGAAAAGCCTAACGCACTAATGATTTTGCTGTTATTTATGTTATCTGGCGTACCTATTGCAGTTAGTTTCAAAGCCATTCCCGCTACGTTCGGTACCAGTAAGTCCTTTGTCACTTAGTCCACCCGTGTAACATAGCATCGTGTGTTTTTGGGGTGACCACTTTGACATGCATAGGGCAGTCATGGAAAAAGCTAGAATCCACTTCTTTGTCGTCTTGGTGAGCATTATTACTTATCAAAATTACTCACACAGATTGCACGCAGCATAGGAGACCCCGAGTTGATAAACCTCAACACGGGATTCGATTGCAGAGTTAAGCCAAGAAACGTAGTGCGCCTGCGATTTCATGGACCACACACACTTCAATCCTCTTTCAGATTAGACAAGTAGAAACAACACATTGTCTCCCACTACGTGAAGTCATACTTAAATTCATTATTCTAACTAGGTTTTGTTTTTTCTTCTGGATTGCATTTGCAAAACTTAAATGAAGTCAGAATAGCAACGCACTATTTGTGCGCAATACTTGTAAGTGGTTTTCTCACGAACCAGGTGGATAAAGCTGGGAGGTACGAATAAACTGTCACGATATATTGAATGTGGTGGGTGTATGGCGAGAAACCATTTTAGAGCCTCTGTGCTCTATACTACTCAGTGCCACCCAACCCAACCATTTATGGCACCCCTTTACTCAAGAAAGACTTTCACAACACTCCTTGTTACTTTGTATTTTGCTCGTTGTAAGGTTGAATTTTCGCTAAGTGATCACCCCCTAAATGGTATGATGTGCGATTCATGCTGTGGTTTGACCCCCACTAAAACAGCTCTTGTCATAGTACAAAAGGTTTTGTAGCCGAGCTTATTAGCAGACGGAAGAAAACGCAAGCAAAACCCAAAAAGTCTGTGCTAGGCAAAACGATCAACTAATAAACATCCAGGACTGATTACAGTCGTGGTTTGACCCCACTAAAACAGCTCTTGTCATAGTACAAAAGGTTTTGTAGCCGAGCTTATTAGCAGACGGAAGAAAACGCAAGCAAAACCCAAAAAGTCTGTGCTAGGCAAAACGATCAACTAATAAACATCCAGGACTGATTACAGTCACGTCCCAAATCCCTAAACGACCTTGTTGATTTGTTCATCAGAACGAAGATATGATCTTGACTGCGGACCACGTGGTGGGTGATATGTTCGCCATGCTTGGTAATGTAGTTGCAAGGTTTTCGTCAACATTCGAAAAGACAAATCGGTGCACCTACCGAAATGAGGCTTCACCAGTAACAATGACGAAGGCTTTTTTTAAAACTAGCCCGAAAGAGAGAGGTTAAAATCGCAAGTCACATACACTCTGTAGAAAACTCCAGTGTTAGGAAAGATGTGGCCTATTCACTATTCTGATAAACTGTGCATCGGATTGCTACAATACTGAATAACAGCGAAACTTATGTGCACAGATATTGTCAACTCTATAGGCAAGATATCAGTTTTTACAGGAAGCTACGCATTCAAAAGTCAACCACCTTGCCAATACTTCAGGGACTGGCAAGTTGTCTGTTATCCACAACTCATGACTTTGGTTACACTAACTACATCCACGGCATGGTTACCCAAACAGGGGAGAGTGTCACAATATCTCATTATCCCACAGCTTTCAATACGCTGCGTTGGGCGTTCTTAATTGCTTTGTGTATATACTGGCCAGATAGATAGAATCCACACTGTTCTAACACTAACGTGCAAGTCATCCATCCCAGTCTAATTACCGGATGGGTGCGTAAATAAGTCACCAGAGAACAGCAAGCACTCAAAGATTAATGCTGAGCGCCTGATGAGGCGGGATGTAGCTTTTCGTGAGTCATCTCTGTCTGTCCAGTTCAGCTTGATTTCTACGGAGTCTATTCGCAGAAAGTACGCACATGTATCATTTTGGTGAGCAATTTTCTGGTTCCGACCTTAATTCCGAGAGACTGTGTATGACAATTGATATTCATCTGGAAGTTTGTGGCTTTATCTATCATGTTAGTGTGTAGACGTGTCTGACCCATCTACTCAGTGAATCTGCTCCAAGATCGAAATTCATATGTTACATTTTTTCGTAGGCATCTTCTGTATATCCAGATGATTGTATGTCCATTGAAAAAAGCTCCAAATTCTATGACAGATTATCTGCATTAAACGCAAAATGATACAATAGTTTAGCTACGCCTGGCGAACTCATCACATGAGTTTTGAGAAATTGAATCCAGGCGAACTATTAGTTTTGCTTTAAGGGGAGCTCAAAAGTGCTACGTTAGTAATCAAAAAATCACGGAAGAACTTTCAGCTTCACACCTTTTGGAATGAGAGTAGAATGTCAGTGTGAGTTGGAACACCACGATCAGCCAAACAAATCAGATATACTTGTCCGTAAAAAAAGGAACAGATACAGCCATTATCCCAGGTATTGTGACAATCTACCGCTGGTTGGACGCAGAGGCATCCAGTGATAAAGCGGAACAAATGGGTACAGCAAACAGTTCGCTTGCATCAGTTGTCGGTTGGTATACCTGAGCTACTTCCACGCCCTCATCTGAACGCTGGTTACCAACAAAGAAGTGCCAGTGAATAAGAGAATTGCCGCCGTTCAACTGCGAATGTCAGACTTAGACGGCGCTGTTCACCGCCCGTCACACCGATCCTGTTCTGCTAAGTCAGCTGTTTTGAACCGTTTGGTGTTAGCTGTCCGACATAATGCTAATCCGGAGGCTGGTTCCCACTCACCTGTCTTCACTCTGGACTACCTTGTATAGTGTGACCATTTTCTCGTTGACTGGCAACATCAATTGTCTTGATATAAAATACTCTTCCTTAAGGGTAGCACCACAGGGAAAAGTGCAATCTGATTTCCTATATGAGTGACGCAGCATTATTGGAAGGCACATTCAGTCTAACGATGGTGAGTGCTGCAGAGAAACTGATAATTCCAGCGGTGCGGAGGTTTGTGTACCTGTCTGACACAGAAATATACTGTGAGGTTGCATCTTGACTTTCTCAGGGTTAATGGTACCAGGTTGGTCAGTGGGTAGAATTCTGATGAGCACGGTCTCTTGGTTTTCCAGGCCGGGGGTTCAAACAGGCAAGGCGACTTGTTCCTTACAAAGCTTGTACTAGTCCGCCAGCACCCACCCGGTGCCCTGCGGTAATGCTTTTGAGCAAAAGTCTTCGATCGAGGACACCAACCGTCCTTCTGTCTGAAGCTAAGCGCCTTGGCAGTACCTCAGCCTACGTAAAATCATGATAACTGTAAATAAGAATACGCTCATGCTACATTGGTCGTCGTGTGGTGCCATCGACCTGGTTGATTAACTTGTTACATACAACAGGGCGGGTAAGGGAAAACATACAGCTGCCTCTTAAACTTTCACGCATTCTCCATTCTACCCTACTCCACCCTAATTTGAATGCTTCCTGCGCAGGTCCTGGCGCTAGGACTGACCGCTTTGTTCGCCATGCATCACACTAGTCTGCGGGTTCCATGCGCCCGGCTAAACTAACAACCCGAAAAATAATTCAGTCTGTTTTCGAAATTCGAAGGCACCCTTTAATTTTCGCATATTGAAGCAAGCAGGACAACAAGTGGCTCCTGCTCGTACGCTGTATCGACATATCCTTTCTCTCAGAAACAAAAAAACAGGAAGCAGTAATACCACTGAACCGACTGTCTCCGGTTTTATTTTGGGTAACGGCTGCACACATCTGATGTCACGAAGGCTGCTGCAACTGGATGTATCGGTGTATGTATTGTGTTGAGCCATTTAGCATGGCTAACTCTAGTTTATTAGATACCCGCTGATAGTCACGTCTGTGTTGTTTGTTTGCCAGCGTCTGTGAGAGAATCTCAAGAAAGTTAGGTTCGTCGCTCCCTTCTATTATATCTGCCTACGCCCTGACGAATTGTAGCTTTGAATCTGCCAAGAACTGTTTCTATGACGATGTGGATACCCTTTTACAACCGGCCGCCTGCTATTTTCAATCCGAACTGTCAGTCTTTCATTAAGAACGTTGTAGACTGTGAACAGGGAACCCACTTCAGCCTCATAAATATCGCAGTGAATATCTCATCGCGGTGCTGGTCCCGACGACCTTCCACATCCACTGCTTAAAGATGGTAGGCGGTACCTGTCTAGCCTATTATCCTCCATCTGAGAGAAAGAGACCGTCCCAGATAGGTGGCGAGTCGACAATAGTAATCATTTTCAAAAAAAGTACTCGCAGTGCATTACATACAGGAGTGTAAGCTTATAACAGAGCTTATAACATCACTGATTCTTCGCTGTCTTACGGTGGCACACACTCATGAACATCAAGCGGGATTTCGACTAGGTATAGGATGAATTGACTCCGTCACGACGCCATTTGTACAGACGATCCGTATGTACAAGGTTCCATTGAATTCAAGGCTGCTTTTGACTTTGTCAATCCGTCAATGTTCCCGCCTATATGAGCTCATAGCGCATACCAAATACGTTTGTGATCACTACCCAGTACTTACACTAACTTGCTTGTGGGTTTATGAGTGCATGGTGAGCTCTATTGAGGCCTCCATACCAGGAGCTGTGCCCTGCGAGGATGTCCACTCTCTATGCGGCTAATAGTTTGAACTCTTAAGCGTTCGGTCAAGAGCAAAGGATCAGCAATGCAATTAACACGCACCCACAAACAGAGCAAATGCGAGGACTTTCAGTTTCTTGAAATTTTTATGGGGTCAAGTAGAAACCTAAAAATGACCACTGTACGATCGTTGTTTTGGTTATGATTGACCGGAAAGACTTCATTTTGTGTGTGGAACACATCTGTCGAGAACCCAATGACCAACAATCGGAAAGATGACAATCATATTTGATTCGGTTATCTACTACGTTGCCAAAGTAAGTATTTTTTAGATTGCTCATGGGTAAGCTCTTGGCTTTTACACGCATTGCACATTCCATATCAATTAGTGCATCCAGGGAAGCACGGTCAATCCAAGCCGTTAGTTGAAAAATCAGTGAGGTTTTAACGAAGGGAAATTAGAGGTAGATTCAAGAAAATCACTTTTTGGACCACCAGATACATTGTAATTACTACAAACGAATAAGATCGGGATTTTCAGAAAAAGTGTATTAGTTTGCTTGCTTCAACATGCGATTTCCTCCTCGGCAAGTACTCCAGTGTGAACTGAAATGGTCCATTCCGCAGCTGAATGCTCCCTGAAACAAATTTCACCAGTTACTAGCGAAATACACTCCTTCACAAACTAATTTGGTTTCGCAAGAGACTCGCCTGGAACCCAGCTGAATCTCTCCTTTGTGATGTTACCAGGCGACTGGATGTGCTGCACCAGGTCGCCTCATTTTTCAGTCGCTACGATATTCGAGATATCGCGATATATATATATATATTTGTAATGCACTACTAGGTTTCTAACATCGAAGCGACTGAAACAAGGGGCCGTCTGGTGCAGCACATTCAGTCGCCTGGGAACATCACAAACGAGAGATTCAGCTCGGTTCCAGGTGAGTCTCTCGCAAAACCAAATTAGTCTGCAAATGAGTGTATTTCGCTAGTTTCGTGCAATTTGGTTTCAAGTAGTACATAAAGTCGATGGAAGCTCGAGGAATTCATCAGTTACTCTTTTGGGGTACTTTAGCTTCTTGAACCAGGCAAAACTAGGGTTTACTAGTTGAAATCGAAATGGCGTTTGCGAATAGAATAGGCCAGTTTAACTATAGACATTTTCGAAACTTTTCTTCTGGTCACTGAATAACTCAACCTTTCTTTGTCATTCATCTTGTCTGGCTCCTGAAAACTGTTTGAATTTTCTGCCTCATAGCCTGTATTGCCAGAACAACGACATCCAAGATGAAGCACTGACAACTGAACTGCTTGTTACAATTGAACTAACATCTTGATCTGTAGTCACGTATGTCTAGACACGTTGTAGTACCATGTGCTCATCGACTGTTATGTTCTATTCCACACCGGACGAGTGCAGTGCAAACTGTAGAATGTAAGTTTGAGAGGAATACACACTGAAAAAGTTTCAAGTACTTTAAATTTGCAGTGGATCGGTTCTCTGTTAATTGAAAAAAGACTCCAAAAAGGTTCAATTTGTCCAAATTTTACCAATGGTATAATTTTTGACGACGTGTCTCCAGGCCGGTATAAACCTGTCAATATTATTTGTACACCTGAGGCTTGGCTTAACGAATAAACATGGGAACACATGACAGATGACAGTTCCAATTCCTTTGTCTCCGAACACACATTGTGTCAAATATTGACTGTTCTAAACGAATAGGTTTGACCGCCGACGTGTGCGCTTTTTACATAGACGTATCAGTCCATGAATTGTCCATGCTAGTTGTGCGTGAGAAGGTTGCACAGATGTTCATCAAAGTTCTCCATCATCTCGTTTTTCATTCCAGTCGCAAGCGGTATCAGCTCTTTTCATGTCTTTCATGGTTGGGGATTTTTCGGCTCTGTGTTCCCATTAGTGGAGGTGAACCTGAGGAAATTTCAATCGTTTGTTCGAAAACTAAGGCGAACAGGGTGATATTTGAAGATTTTTACAGCCGGTGCTTGAACAGCTCTTCGTAGGGATAATGCAGGTGAAAAAACAATAACAATAAAATGAGTTATGCTATCTATAAAATGACTTTTCCTGTAGTAAAGAGTTCTTAAATCTGACCACCTGGGTGTACACCGTAACTAATAAATCATTCACCGGAAACATCACAAACCAGAGATTCAGCTGGGTTCCAGGTGAGTCTCTCACAAAACCGAATTTGTTTGCAACTGAGTGCATTTCGCTAAAACCATTCACTTCTCCATAGTAAGAATGCCTCCTTGGCACACGCGCGTAATTTCTTAGCCTTCCGATAGGAGGTAAGAGGTAGTGATGAATTGGATCATTCTGTCATCCAGATGACCAACAGACTTAGCTGGACCCACTAGTTCACAGTTGGACGAAAAGGTGATATTTGTTTCGATGAACTGCGGTGAAACCTGTTGACAGAAGTCAATAGCTACTCTCATTTGCACACGAATTCGGTTTTGACAGAAGACTCAACTAGTCCCTCGTTTATGCTGGTGAGTGTCAGCCGAATTTGTTGCAACAGGCCATCCTGTGTTTCATTTGGTACGATATTCGAGATATCACAATACTTTATTGTCTAGATGTAACACAACACCCATAGGGTTTCTGAGATCTTTTCGACAGCTAAGTTATCACTATGGTGATCGGAACCTGGATAATCAATTTGTCATTTCCAGTTTACCAGAGAGTTGTCTTTTGTTAATTTGAGACTGTAGCGGTCTGGGTGTTAAATCCTACAATTGCAGAAACATCAGGAACATCACGACACAAGGGAAAAAAATCACCCTTCTATACTCCTGAATTACCTAACCCGAGCGTTTAGACTACAATGAGTTGCTGAATCCCAATTAGCTTAAACAAAATCAGCAAGGTTTGTCTCGTACCCAAAATGTCTATTTTTGATGGTTTGATTATCCTATTGGTAGCATGAGTATAACCTTCCTGACAAAAACAATCAGGTATAAAGCTGAAGAAGAACGTAATAAGCGACATATTCAGCTGAGTTTTCAGTGAGTATCCCATGAAAACTAAGTTGATGTGCAAATGAATGTATTTGTTGAAAAGTTTCCTGTCTGGACAATTTCCGTGTCGTCAATTTAATTGAGCCTTGAGCTTGGGGGGATGAGACACCCCCTGAAAAATCACACAAACTGAGGCTCACGGGAAGCGTGGTGTTGACTCAATGTATGCGCGCGCGATAACACATGAATACCTTCGCTCGGAGGCATGAATCATCTCAGAAGCCGGATAGCCGGAGATACCGGGAAGGTCATGGACCCGACGCGTATCCATGACCAACTGGACGGATGCTTCCTAACAATCTGTGAGTAAAGGGTAGGACGGGCTTGAACGCAAACTGTGAGGTTATAGGCAATCGGGGGCGGAATTGACAAAGCCGTTTACATAGAGTTCAAGAAATCTAACCTAAGAAGTATTCCTGAGCTTTCCCAAGCGTTGTTTAAACATTTGGGGTCAGTGAATGGACACATGGGAACATTTCAATAATCTCCAGTTCAACCGCCGACTAGATGCGGGAGTATGCTTGAAACCGAAGCCCGATTTTACTCACAGGGTTCATCAGTAATATGCGCTGTTGGATAACCGTTAAAATTAGTCGACAGTTGGCTAGATCAAAAATCGCACCTTAAGCCGAACCCGTTGGAGAATGCGTTATCCAAAAATTACCGTCTGAAATGTCATTTAGCAAGTCAGCTGTTCGAACCCTGTTAAACCGTCAGATTAGCCTCAATTATAATAATGGCGCTCGTGTTCCTGAAGTTTTGGGCGTACGATCACACCTTTATTGTATGCTTGAAGAGGATCTGTCGGTAACTTTTAAAGCACCTGATATTCTTCTAGGAAGGTACATTGACCGAAGCTCTGTGGAGGCACCAGACTGCATTTACTCCTTTTGATAACTTCACCAGTAAAGGCGGTTAGTGAATGGAGTGCTTTCCGGATAAAGTTTGCCTGTCACCACGAGGCTAAATATAAAAACTGCACTGAATTCATTTATGGCTAGAAAGATCCGTGAGTCTGGTTTTCCCGGCACTCAGATTCCGTTTATCTGCTGCGGTTAACTAACTACTTATGGATTAGCAAGTTAATTTTGATTGTACAGAATAACACTACCACTATCTGACATACTGACTTATCTGAAAAAACAACGTTATCTTGAATGCTTGTCGTTTTCCTAGACGGTGCCCTCTACAGAAAATTTTTCGATTAATTGATTGTTACGTTTATTTTAACGAACATCGCAGAATGCCACCCTGATTTAGCTTACGAAGTATCTATAGACCTGCGAATTTCCAAAGTATGCCAGTTAACAGACTTACAATATTTTAGTTGGATGGATTTACACTGGGGACCAGTAGACCCATGTTTATTTTGTACTGGTCAGTAACACGAGAATATCCAACGCAGACGGGCCCGGAAGTTTACTTTAGAGTTACAAAAGAAGACAGTGTAAACAACTTCATCGGACTATCCTTTCCTGTTGGGGTGTATGACGACTGCAGTTGGGTGTTTATTCACCGTTTTTCTTGTGTTGTCACTTTGATATCTGGTCCAGTGTGCTAATTTCTCAATCAACCGGAATCTGTGAGCCATCATTCAGTGTTGAGTGAACCGAATGAATGACGTTCCCTCACTACTACAGACGGACGAGCGGCCGGCCTTCCAGACTCGACAAATGCAAACAGATTATTGTTATTTTGACGTCTATCGAGGTGGTATGAAGACTTAAAACAAAACAATATGTGCTAACAAAGCTGTGATGAGAGTCAACCAAGTACGAACTGTCTGAAAAACGCAGTGTCTCCTGGTAGTCAAAACGCAATAGAGCGACCACTGCTTTTTTGTATGTTAAATGCGAGGAGCATAGGGCCGAAAGAAAGTGAAATCACTCCGATATCAACTAAGTATGAATTGTCTGAAAAACGCAGTGCATCTCCTGGTAGTCAAAACGCGATAGAGCGACCATTGCTTTTTTGTATGCAAACTGCGAGGAGCATAGGGCCGAAAGAAAGTAAAATCACTCCGATAAAGCTTTTTAACAAAGCCACTTACATATGATTCAAGGATATTGGGCACTCTCATCCAATGATTTGCACCATGGACATCTCAAAAATCCAGCTCAAGGGCTTTGTTTCCAGAGTAAGAGATGTAAAAGTGAGAAGTGAAGTGAATTGACGGAGAAAACCCGGGTGGTTTCATAAACGGACGAATCCTCTCAGGACATGCCTGGCAAACCCACTGATAAAACTTCTTGGTTAGTTGATCCACCGTAAATGTCCAGACCAAGCAATGAAGAGTACGAAAGACACCTTAAAACTTTCGTAAGTCACTCTCAGACTCGTGGACGTCTAAATAAGATGAAGGAAATCCACGATACATTTGTTGCATGGTCGTAACTCTTTTCGTATCCATACACTGGGAGAAACGTCAAGTTAAAAGTGTATTCCTCTTCTGCTGGATGTGGGTGGGAGTTTGGTCATTCAGTTAGATAATACAAACCCTCGTTTTACCCTACTCGTAAATATAATGACTTCTACCTTGTCGCTCCACATCTGTATGAAGAAATCACCTCATCTATCGAATGCTTGCACGAAATATCACTATACAAGTCAGCCAGGGGAGAGTGTGATTTCACTACGCATGCTGTTGAAGACTAGCTTTCCCTGTGTTGTCTGCATTGTTTGTCCTTCCAAATGAAGTATCCTGTTTTTCTGTCCTGATAGTTTAATTAAGTAACTTCATTGTCTACTTACTCAGCTCTGTGAGGACATTTATTAAATGCTGTACGTATGTACATGTCATAATGTGTGTGTTTGACCGTTGAACGGAAGGGACATCAAAAGCAAATGACATCAAAGGAACAAAATTAACAGAAAGCACTGTTTTAATGAAACATTCAATGTATAAATATTGGTAGATTGTGTGTACTTATTTGTTTTTGATCAGACAGCTCCTGGTCTATTCACCAAGCTTGGCAGTTAACTTGAAAAGTTTTCGTCACTAAACGCGGAGACTTCATCAGTGCACAGTTGGGCGGGTACTTCATTCCTACCCGCGTGCGTTTATACAGAATTTGAGGAGTATCTGTCATCTCTTAATTCTATTGACCAGTTGTGGGATGAGCGAGACAGTCAAAGTGGTTAGTGCACCAATTTGCTGACCAGAATGTTCGTGATTCGGACCCGACATCTGCCTCTTGAATTCCCTTGTCTAAGTTTGGGCAACCTGGCAGTATCCAAGCCCTCGTGTCACCTTCTGGTACACCGAAAGGGTGCCACAGCCGAAAAAATTGTGGGATGGCGCCCTTGTGAGTTCATTGGTCCGTCTGTGATATGCGCTGCGTTGTGGTTTGCCTCCCTTGGATTTGCTTGGCCATCCTTCAACGATTTTGTTTCCTTATTTTCAACCCTTCCGTTCGCAATCTGCGTTGCGCTGTACTCTGACCTCGGGGTGGACTAGTAGGTTACCCCGCCCTACTATCTCCACTGTAAAGGCTGGTACCCGTGCATCGACCGGTTAATTTGATTCTTTGGTTCGACCGTCAATTAAAGCAAATTTATCTATTTGAATCGGAACTTCATGCTTCTTCTACGAGTTCCTTATCTGGTTTCTCATCTGAAAAATTAGATCAATTTCGGTATACCTGTAGACAACGTCTTCGGTAGAGTACTATGCTTCCATAAATTCACGTTCTTTCTTCATCCTTGTTTGAGAAGGTATACGAACGTCATTCCAAATCCGTGTCCTCCAAGATCCACGTGCTCGAGGACGAAAAATAATTGATAATGTCTTCTAGCAGCGAGCTTGTGTTCATGTGTTTTGATGAAGATGTTCCTACATGTTCAACTTTTGCAGCGTTTGTCGCATTTCTGACATTGGATCACGTATAAAAAAGGGTTTCTGTAGCACTGGATTCAGTTTTCTTTGATTTTGGTAGGTATTCTCAGGGTGTTCGCGGGTTTGTAAGCGACCGTTATATCCTATTGTCGTCATCTCAGCGATGCTTTTGATGTATGGCGGTACGACTCGCTTTTTACCGCTTTGCACTGTTGTGACAGTTTTAGTTAGCTTCCTGAACGATTTATAAAGTGCTCAGACATCCATTTCTATGAAAGAAATCGTTTAGGAGTGTTCCTTTTTAAGTCTTAGGCTCCACAGTGTTGAAGTATGTCTCAATCTTCTGAAAAGTGTCCAAATGCAGGTTCGTTTTTGAAAACCTAGAAGGGTGGGATGCTAGTTCAGAATTCAGTCCGTATGCGTCACCTTTCTGCAGACCTGAGTTTGTAGGATTTTTCGGCAAACAAGTGAGGAGAGCGTCCAAAAACGCTAAATTCCCGTTGTTCTCTTCTTCCATTGTGAAGTGAGTATCGTCAAAAACCCTGTTCAGCAGTTAGCCCGGGTTCGAAGCACCGGTGTTGAACACTGATGTCATGCTGTCACTGGTGATGATGATGTCCAGAGCTTGTCCTGAAGAGAAGCAGGCTCTCAAAGGAAACGTGACCTACTGGACTCTCTCTCTATCTCAAGGGAGGGTCGATCTTCAGGAATGACAGAACTGCAAAAAGACTGAAAAAACCTGTCTATATGCAAAAGAAATGAGTTGGCGTCAACACAAGTGGCCACATCGATTAGTTGTAGAATGGTATGGGACTCAGCTTTAAGTCACACGGATCCCTCGTCTATAGTTTTTTTCAAGAATACCGATGCACATTTATTTTTCACTTGGAACGACATTCAAGATCTCTCAAGATGTCTCAAAATCAGACCTACAGGCTACACTCCACAAAGACGAAACCGATAGTTGACTGTCCAGAATTTTCATCAGGTTTATGCATACTATCGGTCACCGAACGGAGTAGTGATCTCTATTCAACAACAGTCCGTAGTAATTTGAGGGAAATCAAATGATGCACTCTACATTACAGATGTACTCCCTCCTTTATTCGAAAAAACATCAACAAGGTGTGAATTTCGTTTTCCCTTAGATACAACATGGTCTTGGTCTCTTTAGATCTTCCAGAATGATTATACTGCTTGTCCCATTATTTCAGAGAAAATAACGCCTGACGTGAAACTCGAGAGTTTGAACCATTGATGCCAAATCTCTGGAACTGTCATCATAAGCTCTGCCTAACCTGTATGATTGTGGAGAACGGGGCCTTTACTGCACTGGTAGGTAAACGCTAACAGTGCATGAAGTGACATCCGTTCGTACTCAGTTGGACTGAGACAATGGAGACTTTTTGTCTTTCCTCATCTCAATTAATCACTGATATATGAACAAATAAGAGCCCCTTACTGATTTGCCTTCCATAGAATGTAGATGCCAGGCGTTGAGTGGTCAATTTGACGAAGAAATACTTGTTTTAGGGATATCGCGTATTTTATGGTTACATGTGCTTTCTTCAGTTTGAGCAAAAGCATGGTTGTTGGACATAATCGATAGGACATTAGGTACGAGAAAGCCTGTAGTTTCATGATCAAAGACATATAATAAATATTCACATTATTTGGTTTACCTACCTGACTGGCAACTGGAGATGCTAAATTCAAAGAGGAGGTTTTTATTTAAAGTGCGGTTAGATGAGATTTAGCTGACACCCTTATTAGATCAAATGGGAGTGTTATTCTCCGTCTATTTAAAAGAAATAAAAACGAACCAACTGAGATTTCATATGACGCAAGAACAGAGACCTGTTTCCTCCATAAGAATCAGAACTGAATCCGTATATGCCAGTTCCTTGCCGTTGACTGCCGCTCCTAAATAGCTATGATTTGGATTATCTAAGAAGCTGTCTAATCGTCAAGCGGGCGATGGCGGAAACGCGCGTCCATACACCGAGAAGAATTTAGGTCCTGCACTATCAGGTGCCCTAAGGTTCATCCCACACCAGCACATTCTAGTTGATGTGATATTCTTTCGGTTACATATCACTTCATATATATATCAGGCCCCGGAGTACTCTACCGTTCAGCTCAACCGATGCACCTTGAGTGCTTGCTCAAACACCATCTTCATCTCTCGGGTTGCCCTACAGGATCACTCAGCTGGAACGATTTTAAACCTGTCGGATTCGTCCAACAGAGGATTTGGCCGAGCTTTCTGCTTAACTGTAATCACATTTAATATTGCTGGAAGAGCCAAGGACTAGGATTATCATGCTCGTCTTATTCCGTCTGGATGCCACTATCGCATTGCCGATCGGGCTGTCATGGCGGAAATTTAGGTGTTCAAACCAGTATTCTGGAGGTCGCGAGCTCGAGACGCCCTACGGGGCTTTCGTGAGCTGCACACTGCTGGCGATGCCCAGTAAGAATGCAACAGCTGCACAGTGTTTTCTTGGCTTTTCAACGTAGACTGACTTCACTTAGAGGACGAATTCTCCACTAATGGACACATTCTTTTGTCCTACACTCTATTGGTGTTTACGTTTTCCACTCAAAAATTGCTGTTAACTAAGTGTGATAGCTTTTTCTTTCAAAACTAGTCGCCATACACAATGTGTGTGCGTCGCCGACTGACTCTTTGAACAATCCTGTGCGTTAATGTGATCTACTCCGTATCCCTAAACTATGCCTAGGAGCAAAATATCCAATCTCATTTCCAGCATTCACATATGAAATTACCTAATGGTTGTCTGCCACCGACATTCGCTTCACGATTCGATTAGTCGCCTTACAGACTAGTGATTAATTAAGTCGGTCAAAAGGAGAAATGAACTTTAGGGAATCTGAAAAGTAATCACCATCGGTGGATACGGAATCTAGGGGTAGTTTTTCAGTCGTACCATATAGAAACGTCTGAAGTGAACGACCGAAATCGGTGTATTCCCGGAGGTTCACCGTAGTTTTGTTTCGGGAATATAAATCTCACAAACAAATTTTCTGATTAGCTCAGTTTTCCAGATATTGCTTTCAGAAATGGCACACACCACTCTCTTTCAAACAGTCCTTTTCCATCCTCCGTGCGATTATTCTGGTTGTTTCATACCAAAAAAATAAAGTATTGTACTCGAGTCTCGCTCATATGAGAGCTCATCATCAGCAAGCATCCTTGGCAGTCCAGGGAACTGGAATCAGAACGTCTGATATTCGAGGCGAGCTTGTTATCATCACTTCATCAGCACAAGCCGCACGAAGCCGAATTATCACAGCCGTGCAAACGAACTTTTCATGCACCATTTAATTTGCACAGTAGTTTCGGATTAGTATGTCTAAGGTCCATAACGGTCAGAGATATGAAAGTCATTAGACTCTGAGAAAGCACGACTTATTGGGTGTAGAAATGGTCACAATAAATGAACATAAACAGGGAAGCGAAACCCCCAAGAGCTGAGAATATTTCCTCGACATTGCCGAAACCAGTTGACGAGATTGCTGACACCCTATTTTTCCGGAAGAAGTTGATGAAGGAAGGATACAAAAGGAAGGAAGGAAGGAAGGATACATCGATCTAATAACCCTGAGTGATTATCAACCCCCGATTTAACGTATGTGCTGTGTAGTGACTGAAGTTATTGAAAAGAACACACACAGTCCGTTTAGCGGGATTTTCTACCTGCCGTGTTTAAGAGGGACGGAAATATTTCAAACCCTTGAACGATATCGAGTGGAAGTATTGTGTTAAATAGCGGAAAAGTCCTTAGATTCGTCCTGACATTCCCTGTGAGCATCATGATCTTATCATTGAACGCAGCGCAAATACTTGAAATTCATCGTAAATACACTCTAAAGTTTTTTTAAAGAAAAACTTTTCTGAGTGGTTACTTCAAAAGCGGAATCATTCAAAATTCTCTACACTCTGTCAAATGAAAGAGAATTAGTCTAGAGCAGTTGATTACAGTTGAGTAGTTAGGTGAGTAACCTAATTTAGGAACCATGTAGCGGAGCGTCTTTGTGTGTAACTTGATGAGAAGGTAGAATAAGACAACAAGACACCGGTCCAGATAATCTGTCCCCACTGGTTGCGTTCCCAAGCCCACCTCGCTTGTTAGAGTTGTAGTCACCTCTCAGATCATCGATTCCCTCTCAATAATGGTAGGCAGTTGCACGGCCTGATTAGATATGGCATCTCTGCAGGGGCAGTTGGTATGTACAGGGTATGCCTTGGGGCTAAACGGTCTTCATTTAGAATGATCACCTCCGAGAAGAAAGGAAGACGATTTCCGAAATGCCTCCGAGAAGAAAGGAAGACGATTTCCGAAAAACGGCATGTTTCCGGCAACTCGGTAAAAAGAAACTCAATGAAGATCCCACCCCCAATGGAGAACCGCAAAGGACTGTACAGCTGTATCATCTAAATTACGAAATCCGAGTCTTGAAGGAGGTTCGAACCCACAACCTCCAGACTAGTAGTTGAAAACTAAACTTCTCGGCCAGAGCCGCTGATCACCAGTCTTATTAACCCGCAAATGATACATCGCCACTTATCCTTTAATCACGAAGTCTGCATACGTGGTGACGTGTTAACTAGCCCCTCGGGTAGTGACTTCTCAGATGGAAGGTTCTTCTTTCTAAACTACTTACAGTTTGTTGATAGTATGGGGAGACTGAAGCACCTAGTCTTCAACCACTGACTGGGAGGTCGCGGGTCCGAATCTCCCGGGAAACTCATTATGATGGTACATTTTGTAGTGAACAGAAGACTGAGATAAGTTATGCAACAGTTCCGTTCAAGTATAGAGCTCCTCTTCGGTGTCGCAATGCTACTGAGCAGCTTCATTCAGCCGGTGAAGATTTTTTAAACATATTCCTTCCAGGTAGGTGTGCATATGATTTGCAATCCGACACAAGTTTATCTTTTTTCACCTCTTTTTCACCTGTCACATTTTTCTCCTGGGTGATTTACCGTGACTACATGTATCACCTTTCAGCACAAGATACACTTACCAACTTGAGTTGCTACATGTTTGAACATTCTACAGAACACTTTCTTAGGGCCCACCATGGATTTGGTTCAGTTCGACCAGATAGACTGCTCTAGACTGCTTGCCCGAATATGAAAGTACCAGCTCTGCGTAAAAGACGCACTGTAAAAGGCACATTGTTTTTGTAAGCCACACATCACGACACTGCCTCTGGAGTGCCATGGACCATAGATCAGTGATTGATAGCAGCACATTTTCAATAAGAATCGACACAAGATCAGTTGTCATCTCCCATGTGTGTTTCACTCGTCGGCTCTGAATTCGTTTATTATCCACTGGTACTCACAGGGTGTCATTTCAAGCAACAAATGGAAAAAAAGTGATGAACCCTGCAAACGTGTTGTTTCTTGTAGGACTGTGCCCAAGAAACATGAGAAAACTCGTTCTATGTAAGATTCATGGGAGTGGTCTTTTCAATTTTTCAGAGTGTGCAGTCGGACAAGGGCCAACCTCCTTCGGGAAAGTGACTTTAATTAAGCTAGACCGTTCCGTTAAGTCAACATCACTAAGATATTTTTGCTTTGTGCATATCACTAAGCGGCACACTTTTTTCCGGCACATTCTTCCGCATATTCAAAATACACTCCTGGAGAAACTGAAATGGTGGACAGAAGAAACGAACAAACATGCTGTTGGTATTGAGAGACAATTTCCCCGTTGCCAGAAGATATAATAAATGGTACGGTTTGATTGCGTGCACAGATATTCGACACTCGGCAAATTCTGTCATACATCCCCGGCGTTCATCTGAACCATGTCTCCGGGATAAATGGTCATCCGTACAGCCCAGGCAGCCTATTCCTAAACCGTAGATCTCTGTTTGATCTGTGATAGAACTCGGCTTGTAAAATTGCCATAGTTCAGTTGTATTTGGACATATAATCAAATCTAGACATTCTATACAAGGAATGTAAATACCGGCGGCTTCGTCGTACGTGAACAGTTAGCGAAAATGAGACGATGATCCGAAACTGTAAAATTGCCATGATTCAGTTGTATTTGGACGTATAATCAAATCTAGACATTCTATATAAGGAATGTAAGTACCGGCGGCTTCGTCGTACGTGAATAGTTAGCGAAAATGAGACGATGATCCGAAAACTGTAGATATAAATGGTAACGGGTCTGATTAGAAACCGGAAGGTTGGGTGAAAGAAGTTCTGCCATTGAACAAGCTAACCATTGATTTATTTGCTCCAGCTAGCTACCAGAATAATCCAAATGCTGTATTGTATATAGGGTGTTCCACGTCCAACCTGATAACGAACGATTATTTTTTCGGAAACACGTCAAGAATGGTATTCGTAGGCCTGTGATATGGTAGATAAAAAATAATGGATGTGACTAGACTGAAAATCGCGTACAACAGTAGAACCTGAGTTCATCTTGCGACCAATTATTTTCACTGAGATATCGAACAGTAAAGCTTTTCTCAGAGTGTGAACAATAGTAAACGAAGAACTATTTGGCTTAGTTTCCAACCCCTCAGAACCACCGAGTAACTGGTCATTTCTCGTTTCCAATGATAGTTTCTGAGCCCGTAGTCCGATGAGCAGAACCGAACTAGACCAGTCTACCATGTACTCCTTGTGAAGCGTTAGGTTATTTTCAGATTTCGAGTAAAAATACACATCACATTTCACTCGGCCGGTATTGGGTAACTTCCGCAGACAACGTCCTTCTAAGACTGATGGAAAATCTGGGACTGTGCTTAACATATAAGGCCCAAGAAGAGTGAAACTTATTGTGAGCTGCTGAAGAGTTTTCAACAAGATTATAAGTATTGCCACATGGTATTCTCGGGGTCGGGGAACACCAGTGGCATCACTAATGTGGTTGACTGAGACCCGCCAACAACTAGTTTTCCACATACAGCTTCATCTTGCCAATTCTTGGTTGACCTCAGAACTAAGAGACACTTTGAAGCAATAAGTCAGTCAGGGTAAGAGTTATACCCTGCACAGTAAACAAGGAATTCGTAACATCAACTATTCTTATCCACGCCTTTTACATGAAATCTAAATAGTCCGTCAGAATCTCAAATAGAGACTCATGCACCTAAGACGCTTCCATACCCACTGGTTTACTAAGGCTCTTCAAACGAAAATAGACCGGTTTCACCGTAATATTTTTCGATCGCTGTATACCCATACGAGCTGAGCGAATTTTTGCAACAGCCAGGTCTATTCCTAATATACAATTCTGCACAAGAAGTGCGCTATCGAGAAGATACAACAATGGGTATTTACAGTGGTTAACCACATCTTTTCAAAAAAAGCGTATAAGGTTGCGGAAAAGAACATACCAAAGCCAGAGCCTCAACGTTAACCTCCGGCTCCAATGTTTCGAATGCTATACGCTGAAAGTGATTCACTGCCGTCACCTTTGTAAGTGTAACCACTTGTGCAGTAGCTTATGACGGTTTATTTCATCTGACAGCCTTTTAGTTTCGGCACACTGGGAGGCTGAACGTGACCAAATGTAGGTTGACGTCGGGAACGATACATTTCACTTTTCTCGTCGACAAATAATTGTTGAGCATCCAGATAGATATAAGTGGTTTGATCAGTAACTGGACAGAGTCATCTAACCGAAATTTCCAGTAAAAGTGATCGTCTCTAGGATGAGCACTTTGACCTGTCTCATTTTATGATCCTCCCCATTCTTTCGTCCTTTTGTGGACACAAAGCTAGATGGTCATCTTTGATTATTGGTCTCTAGCAAACGCGACTTGGTAAAATTTAACCAGCCTAAAATTTTGATCGTTGGAAAATTAACCATTTAGATCACCAGTGTTTCCAAACACTCATAGCAAACTTCGTACTGGAAGTCCTATCCACGATGTAGGGAACCTCATTTCCCTGACGGTAGAACCTGCAAAGTGAGACAAAAGTAATGACAGACAAAATCTTTGAGGTGATTTAATGTCTTGGGCGTAATCATTGATCCGCCATTAAGCACAAATTTCATGTATTGAAGTCTAGTAATGAGGCTACAAAGCGAGATACGGTTGAGGACATTTGTTCTGTAAGACTGATAGTTCGTGATAATGTATGTTATCCCAGTAAAATGGGAGATCCGGACATAAGAATTTTCATTGAGTAGCCTTTATTTAGGAGTACGTTTTATGCAACTTGAAGAAACTCCTCTGAAAGAGAGATGTTCTCTACGACATGTTTAGGGTGCCATTACTCGAACTTTATTTTAGAATAACGCAGGAAAAATCAAACTGGCCGAAATGCCCCAGATGTTAAGCTTGAACACAGTAGCCAGTTCAATTCATGCCCACGGCATAAGGTAATATAACAGTGCCATCACTTATTTCGTAATGCCTTTCGCTGATGTGAACCCGTGCTTTATTTTTCATCATCTCCTTGGCCTATTCTCATGCTCACACAAGTTCACGCACCCAGTCACACAGCTTCCCACCGCTTTGATCATTAACCTCACAAAGTAAGCTTAGCTGTCTGCTGCACTTCGACTGTCGTTGCATACGCGATACTTTATAATCTGTGTTTCTAGGTAATGAATAACTCCTGTTCCGCTTTAGCATTTTTCTCTCCTGTATACTTTGAGCGCGTAGGTTGGACTTATACTACTGATAAATGTGATGTAGTTGCCTATCAGGATAGTGCTCGGTTGGGTGCGTTGCCCTTTTTTGAAATTGGCACGAAGGGCATTCTTCATTTGATATCTTAATGAGTACCTTCAAAGGGAGGTGTTTAACTCACAGGCCACAAATCGGTTGCATGTGCGAACTAAGTTAAACCTCGTAAAGTTGCCTCATTTGGTCAACAATCCAGCCTGCCCTTGAGAGCTTTTGTGCATGCGTCGAAAACATTTGCTCGCCTCACTAATTCGTCCAGTGTGACCTAACCGCTTCGGCTGATGCAAATTGCACCTCTAGTGTGCGTGTGGAGGGGTCTGCTAAATGGATGTGAGCACAGGCCCAGGTGAATAAAAGTGCATTCTACTTCCCGATCAAATAGCATGCTGTTCGATAATTCTACTACTGCTCTTTATTAACTCAGATATATCCATATTAACTGGTGCGGACATGGAATTCGGCTGCAACGTCATGCAATCTAATGAGGTATTCTTCCTTCCTGAAGGAAGTGATTTAAAAGCGCGCATTTCGGACGCAAGCTTCTTGGGACATTGCTCGCCATCGGGTTGTGAACAGTCCGCACATGTTTTTAAAGACAACATGCAACTATTATGTTGAGTGGTAAAAAACTATTAGGGAAAGACAATCCCATAGGGTTTTTCTGAACCGTACACGCCCAACATCGTACACACAGACAAGCCACCCGAAATGCATTACTTTTTGTGCTATCGCAATGGATAACAATTCAAACCCACAAGAAACGCGCTTCAGTAGTACGTTTGCTGATTTGCCCGCCTCGCTTGTATTGCTGTATGCACCACCGCTGCGAGTTTGCCATCTGTGTCTCTGTGTGTTTGTCAATTCGAAAACTGTGCGTGTTGGCAACTGGACACGATTCCCTCCTGAATTTCGGTCGGGTTTACCAGTTCACACAAGATCAAACAACTACTGTTTGTTTTGCGTCGGGCCGAAACATATGAATACTCAAGGCAGAATACCTTGGCAGTGTTTCACAGGCGCAAGTGTTTTGGAGGGGGGGATTTGTCGGACAACTCCGCGGAAATATTTACAAAACTTCACCTAGCTAACAAATCGATAGATTGTGTTGAGATTCTGATATTGGCGAGTCATAATCCCTACTTCGCGGTAGATGACAATGTCCTCGAAAATCGTCGCATCCTGCATATGCAAGCTGCTTGCCCAATATTCCAGGTATTCGACGCTATTTCCAAGCTGTTAATTAATTCATAGCGATTTCTATAGCAGGAAGTAAATTGCCCGTTCGCACGTGCAGCCATTTTTGTGTATTCGTTTTTATATGAACCCATTCGGAGTGACGGCTGGCCTGTTGTCAACGCCAGCCGTCAACGGTTGTACCTGACTTTACCTGCTACGTGTGGTCGATTTGTATTGTGTTGGATTCTGGCCGTCAGGCTTAGGATACTGTTGGTAGTATGGGGTGATTTGGGAATTCCCAGCTGAGATTGCATCCTGCAAGTGAAACCAGTCTATGCCGGAAAACTGAAAAGCACTCTACAGTCGTTTCGTTCTCATTGGGAATCATCATCAATAGGCATCTCACAAAATTTCAGTTTCGAGCACACGACTTTCCGCTTGGTAGTTTGAACACAGCCGTTCGGCAATGAGCGGCTGATCAGTGTTATGACTAACCTGTACTTAAACAGGGCATAGCGCCACTCATCCTTTGACCACAGCGCGAGAACGAAGCTGAAAATGCACCATTCTCCAGCGGGTCACGTTGTCCTTTTGATCGAACCAGTCAGACAACTCAGCAACACACTGACAGTTGTAAACACACCGCAGAAAATGGGTTAGAAAGTGGCACGTTCCCCCTTAAGAGACACACAATTCACAGAGCATGCACCAATTTCAAATCAGCCACTGGAAGGAAGCACGAGAGCTGCGATACTATCCGACTGCCCAAGCCTAAACAGAAGTTAAGATGCAAAAGTCGGGTTCGAACGACGGACCTTCCGGTCAGTAAATTCGCGCACTAAACACTCAGCCATCTCACTTCACAAATAGTTACCTACTTTCGGAGCCTAACCTGCCCGTTTGGTTCAGGACTCGAACTTTTCGACAAGAACGCGGTGAATTATTGGATCACCTTCACATCACTAGGCAACCACTCCGTCAGTAACTATCAGGAAGGTCAGATTCCTGAAATCAACTTCTGAACACCCGGAACCTACTGCTCCACCAAAAACTCAACTGGAAAGCCGGCAAGCATCCAGGCCAGTCAATCATTCGATCAATTCAGTAAAACCTGATGAGTGTTCTCTGCGCCACAGAAGCACGACCGAATGTGATCAGCATTCAGGCCTTTCACAGAGGCACGATCGATGTTGATGGGTGATCACTAACGCCTGTCAGACAGCCTGGATCAATGTCAGAAAGTCCCCCTTAAATAGCGTGGGGCCGTTGTAACTTTTGCACTCGCTCTCGCTCTCATTCTCGCACTCACACGCACTCGCTCGCTTGTTCGGAATATAGCTGTTGTGTTCCCTCTGTGAGTCTTTTCTCTCCGACACTAGGCACTGGAGCGGGTCAGCAGCAGATACCTCAGATTGACGAAGCAGTAGATATAACAGTAACAATCACTGAATAAAGGATAATTCACTGGGTCTCCTGAATTCGAGACACAACCGGATTCTGTAGTGTCGCCGAGTACACAGCATGAGCTAAATGTGGTTCGGCTGAAGGTGCGATAGATCCGATCCAGTCATCCTCATCCGACACAGTGGTACAGCGGTTTTTTAACAAACGTGTTTGGGTACTGGTGTGGCATTAACAGGTCTGGATATCTATGCACTTTTCTGAGCTAAATGTCACGGGACAGATGCAAATGGTACATGTGAAGAAAAGTATTGTTGCCCAAGACATGAAGGGACCTGGCAACGATACCTTCCTTTTGATCTGCCTGAATGAAAGAATACGGTTGTGATTAGTTCAGTCTATGGTGCCAGATTACGTGAATATGATTCACTTCCATTTCGTCTGAGGTAGTCCGGACTGTCCAATGAAACGATGACAAAACGAGACGAAACAACGTGGATACACTGCAAATACTAATTACATGGTATATGTGACACGAAATCTGTTTCTCTTCTGAATATGAGTGCGTGTATTTGCTGCCGAACAGGTAGTCTTTGTTCCTCTTATAGTACATCCAATGAAGCGCTGGTCTTCAGCTCCTGTTTCGTATTGCATTGTGGTCACCGTTTACGAGAGCTAAGGTAATTCATCTCTTGATATGCCCAAACTAGCCCAAACTAGCTGAACGAAATACGCACAGTCCATCAAGACTAATATGGTTAGAACAGGTCGGTAAATAATCACATCCTTCAAAATGCACCAAGTGTGTATTCCAATTTCACTAATTCGCCTACACGCATGGTCTGGTGGTACCGGAGGAACCTAGGAACCTGTATGACACCCACAGAGTCTGTCACACCAGATTGGACAATGGATAAAGGTCTGACTAACACATCCTCCTCGTCCTCTAGGTTGGGAGTTAGGACATGTGTGGCGACATGTTCTTTGAAGATGCAGGCTGCTCTGACGGCCTTACGCCAAACACCGCTGCCTTGAAATTAGGTTTTGAGCCAAAAGCTTTCGTTAAGGAGCCTAGGTATGAGCGACCTGGTAGTATCCCACCACACCCACAACCAGGATACTTACAATTAAACATCAAAATCTTGTAAATAGCAGTTTAGTTTCGTGGTCTCACAAAAGCAGCGTTGCAATGGCTTCAGCTGCAATTAAGCAAAACCTCGCGAGCCCCAATAGAGAAGCATGCTCTCTCCAGCCGTGAAAACCACAACACATCAACCATTAGGGTGGAACCAGGTTTAACCGTATCAGGAAGGTCAGATTCCTGCAAGCGACCACCGAATGCCAAAAATCTACTGAGACCTTCAGCGCCGCTAGATGCTGACCAGACAAACAACACCCTCTCAATATGTAGCGCATCACAGCCTTATATCGAACCCAGGTATTATTATATATGACCCTTAAATAACAGATGCAATGTGGTAGCAACCAGTAATGTAAAACGATCGTCTACCGCGTCCAGCGGTAGCCGACAAAATGGATGGTTTGTTTTTCTGTTATTTAAGCATTAGTGCATTGAAGATCCAGTCACATTTCGATTTTTTGAAAACCTTAATGTCTAACTGTTAGAGATAATCACTGAAACTTCCGAAACCCAGCTGAAACACCGAAAAAGTTCTCACCCACTACATATCAGACTCCCCGTCGAGAGCAATACTTCTACACCGGACCCAGTCTTGATCAATGGAGTAATAATGTTGGCCACTTGACTCAACCTAGTCCTATGCATAGCAACCATTTACTGCTATAACCACATGCCTATCAAAACAATAATCACGAGCTACAATCTTCTGATGATTCCGGGTAGAAGCATTGCATTGGACTTTTCGTATACCAAACCAAAACGGGCCAGATGGACGACGTCTTTCTTTCGAGATACATTGTGCACTGGCCACTGCAGCCTTTGAATCCGTCCATCCAAACATCAGACAAGAGTTCATAAGAAGCAGAACGAGCATTCCGTGTGGCCATGGCATAGACGAGGTCCAAACGACCGAACACGGCCTGTTTACACATTTACCGCAACCATTGTATACGAATACTACAACAACGATGTGAAGGCTGATTTTGTGAGGACCACAAGCTCCTCTATAAGGATGTTAACGAGCAGAACCTCAAAGCGCAATACCTACTAGGAAAACCACGGCGTCAAATTTACCCTGAATATGTTCATTATAGGTTTGGACTGAGAAAATTCTCTCTCATCAAACAACTGGTATTTAGAAAACAAATTCGTACAGCTGGAAAGAAAACAGCCACCAGCAGTAATGGAATTTTACTCACAGCATGCTCAGACGCAGTTCTGGGTGTTGGAAAACGTCGAATAGAATCTACACGCGAATGAGTCCGCGTTTCAAGTGGCACTTTTCAGTGGTAAATCCTGGCAGCACATTGGGTCCTGGAGGCGAATAAAAAAGGCTAAAACCTGTAAAGTCCTAAAATTACACAGACGTCTAACGCTCGTGACCTGTTGTGTTAAACTTATTGCAGCAGAAACAGCAAATGAATATGAAGGGGGATCGTTGGTATCGTTGAAAGTGAACCTAAAAAATACGAAACGGGCTGTAAACTAACTGGGCGGTTAAGTGCGGAACCCAACAGCATGACTTTGATTGCGACGCCAAACAGTACTTATACACATATCCTGTTTCAATCGCACTTTTCGTTCGTTCCCAACAAACTGTGAACTGTAGAAACAGCAAATAGGCCTCCACTTCCTGTACGCAGCGGGGAAGAACAACACATCAGAGAATCTGAGGAGACGAACGGTTTTCAGAGGGGATAAGTTCAGTCACTAAATTTCATTAACAGGCAACTTGAGCCTGTTGGGGCTCCGGACATGTGGACGTGAATGGAAGACCGCCCAGTGAACTGATTGGAGGATGCGAAGGCAAAGAACTCCAAGCAATTGACGTTTCAGCAGAATGAACCTTAAAACCGCAGTAAGTGATAAATTGTAGGTTGAGGGTAGTCGTGAGAGATGCTCCACTACGTTAACTAGGGTGTCGTGGTGTAGCAATGAATGGCTAGCACTTTAGAGAGTTCAACGTGCTTCACCGATATCTCCCTTGTTGAACACCACTTAGAGATAGACAACTGGTCAGTTGGATTGGGTTTGGCTTCGGACAGTTGAAGAGAAGAACCGACAGACTGTTGGTAACGTACGAAACGGAATGGCTGTTTCCGACACAAGAATTCGGCTTTGACGGTAGACCCAAAAGAATCCGTCTGAACCTCCCTTTCATGATGGTTCGCTTCGACTGAATGTGCTGCAGCAGGCCACACCATGTTTCAGTTGGTACGATATTCGAGAGAGTACAATATCGAAGAGATTTCAGCAAACTTATGAGTAGTGTTCGAATCATAGTTTGTCTCTCATGATGTGCACTCCCAGGGGTCGCGAAGGTAGAAGCAAAATAACGATGCGCTACTAACAAAAAAATAGTAGCCAAACAACAAAGAAGTTCCACTAACGATAACCGTGCTACGCCTCCGCGACAACCAAATTATCCCAAAAGGAACCGCAACATACAGCAGCCAGATTGCCAAACAACCGAACTGGTTTCCAAGTAAAATTGCTACATGACTCCTTCCAACTATTGCAGTTTTCAGCCGCGGCGCGTCGCCTGCCCATGTGTTTCGACAAAGTATTACCACCCATTAATGCTACCGATGATCGATATATTCTCCATTCTCTTTCTAATCGAGTTGGCCGATGCATGACTGGTTATAACTGTTCCCACCCACCAGTAAATCATAGACAGCAGACCTAGTGGTGGATAGCTAGTCGGTGACTGGAAACTCGGGTTTGTCATTACCAAGTCAAGTTCGAGGTCCACTTCCCAGTATGCAAAAT